ATATATATCAGATCTGAGGCACTTCACTGTTATTATGGATCAATAATTCCTAGCAATCCAGGATGGATTTTCAAAACAGAAAAAACAAGTAAACCCTGAAATTTTACTTGAAAGTACTCTGTTTAGCTACCTTTATCCATTCAAAGGGAAAAATTACCATGCCTGTTACCCCCAAAATATCATTTAACTGCACAAATAATAAATGCTGTTTCATTACTAGAGCATAGTTACTGTGAATATAGGTACAGTGAGATTTTCACATTAAGTCTGAATACGGTAAACCCTGGCAGGAGAAGAACGAAGGGTATAGAGCTGGGTCCCATTTTACCTAAAGCCTGTATTTTTCTTGGAGAGGAGAAAGAAATGAAAGTAGAAAGACTAAATGGCTATTTTCATTTCTACGTGTTTTATAAAGGAATAAATTAAAAACCTGAACTGCTCCAATGCATTTAAATTGTGAGAAATGCCATGCAAGGCAGGAAGGGGGAATCTATTGAAAAGTCTTCTTTTTATTTTTAAAAATGGCAGAAAACTGAAGAGCTCCACTTAGAATTGTGTAATTCTTTGTTTTAGTACGTCTGACTGGAACAGCAAGAAAAAGTACCTTTCAACAGCACAAAAATGCTTTGCTTTATTTGTGGATGTAAAACCAGTTTTATCTCTGCTTGCATGGATATTCAAATGCCTGCCCCCTCACCGCTCCTTCGTCCCCAGGACTGCTCCGTTCGATGTGTCATGGCCCCCTGCGCAGTTACAGACCAGACTCTGCACCTCCTCTCCTGTAGCACACCTTGGTGTCTTTGCAGCTCAGCTCCAAATTGCACAAAGCAACCCAGTCTTACTGGGAATCCCAGCTTACAGATGAGAATGCCACCACCCAAGCACTTGGGATTTTGACATCTGCAAGAAGTGGACTTGCTTTTTCAGAAGCCAATAGAAAAAATTGTTTTCTCCAAATGCCCAATTTTCTACAGAAAGAAACTATCAGCTAAATGATTTTGATCAGCCTTCCTTTAAAAGCAAGGAAGGCTGAAGAAGGTAGAAATTCTACATATGAAATTGCTAATAACCAGGCAATAAACATGCAGAGTTGCACAGGCAACTAAATTAATTGCCTGCTATATTCCAATCAGCTCAATGGCCACAGCTTTATTGGGAAATAAGCATTCTTCAGAAAAACAGCGGTGCTTTTCCCAGGGTGACTCCCACTGTACCCAAGTAGCACTCTGCACCAATTTCCACGCAATTTTTATTTCTTGCACGTTTCCTGGGTTTGATCCTTTTCCATCTGAAACCAGCAGGGACATTTCCAGCGGTGACCTGAACTGCCAGATCTGGTGGGACCAGGGTGTGGGATCTTGCCTTACGTGAAGGTTGTTTAGATCTGGTGAGAGGAGATGTCATGTCTCCCTCCACCTGCACTCCCCTCCAGCCTCATGTTTTCATCTGGCCAGGTGGGAATTCAGATTACGCTGGATGAGCTATGGTTTTTCTGATGGTAAAGTAAATTTTTTGTTATGGGGATAGGGCTTTACGCTCCACCACATTTCAACCCAGAAGAGATTTCTGCCAGTCCAAATTCATGACACCGACCACGCTTTCTGCTGAAGACTCCAGCATCCTCCAGCTCAGTAGCGCTGGGCTCCTGCACCACCAGGCAGCCAGGATATCATCATCATCTTTACTGATGGTTTTCATCCTGTAAACTACAGCATTTGGTCATGGTGACCCCTGTGTGTGGTTTGGGTTTGGCTTTTTGATGGTTGGTTGGTTTTGGTTTTTTTTTTTTTTTGGTTGTAAACTACAGTACATACTCCTGGAGGAGTCTATAAATAATGTCTTGCTGCTGCAGTCATTGAGAAGGATGCACTGAACTGAACCAGAGTGTAATTTGCAGAGACACCCGCATGGTGTCTCCTGGCTTAGTCAAGCTCGTTATACTAATTCAGTGTTAGACACTACTGAACTACCCATCCATGGCACTGGGATCTTGAACCAACCTGAGGACGGTGCCCCGACAGAGCAACAGAGCTTCAATTGCTACACACAGCTGTGCAAACACCACGTAAACCTAACTACAGCAGCTTCCACAGGGTGGTATGGCTCCCCATGGGAAGGGCTCTGCCTCGGGAGGGCTGTTTTCAGGGTAGGACCCTGTCCCCAAGCCCCTTGGCTCCAGTTATACCTGTGAGTTACAGGATGCCACCAAGTCCAAATGAATCATCGTGCAGTGCTTGGGATGCCCTCCTACAGCATCCCTGGTCCATCACATTGCATTTGGTGAAATTTTTCCAAGGTGCTTTCTCTGGGAAGGGAAGAATTGGGTAAAACTGTGCTGGCAAATAATATTAGGAAAACAAGTATTTTTCAGCACAGTTTTACCCAATTCTTCCCTTCCCAGCAACTATGATGGAGATTATAAAATCTGGAAACCAATTAATAATATACATATATAATTAAATTATTGTTCATTCATTAGTTCCAATATCCTCAAAATAAATGAATGAATGCAGGGATCAGGCTTAGCATAAGAACAATACCTTTTGGAGCACATTATCCAGAATATTTTTTCTAAATTATTTCCCCTCCATCGTATTAGTCTTAAATTCACAAAATCTTCAATGAAGTGAAATAACTTTTATACTGTTCTGAGAGCAAATGCACTCCTGCAGACTCCATCATGCCTATCCTAACCAAAGGTGCATTCCTAAAATTTTGCACTTCAGAATTCATGTGAATATGTGAAAGCCTCAACTTCCATCAAAAACACCCTTTGCTTTTTATAAAAAGCAAAACCAAACCTTCAAGGTTTTGGAAAACAATTTGAATTCATGACCCAAGCACATACCAAAAAAACCCCTTAAAGTTCAAGAAGTAGATATGAGAATGCAAAATACAAAACGTGTCAATAAAAGCCACTTTATAACTCAGTGCATGAAAAAACTCAAAACCCCAACAAAATCCTTCAGGAGAAAAACTGCATTTGATCATAAGAGAAAATGAACTTTCTTGTACTTTGGCCACATAGAAATTTTGGCATTGAAAAATTAGTAATTTTCTCAGTACTTACTGCACAAAGAAAAAATACCCCAGAGAAGAGAGGAGGAATTAATTGTACTTAAAGTAGGGATGGCCTGCAGGGATGGCCTGCTTCAGTGAGAAAGGCCAAAGGGATGCTGGAACAAAGAACCCAAAACAAAAAGCTTTCCTCGGCATCTCCTGAGCCCTGGTTTTCAATAAATGCTGCTGCATGTGTCTGTTCCATCCTGCTACGCTCAGTGCTGGGAAAAAGAAATAACCAAGTGACAAAGGCAGTTTTCAGCATCACCAAAACCTCCAAAATGGAGACTAAAGGACAAAACAAGACTTGCTCTTTATGAGCCAGCTTTCCCAAGTGATGCTGCCCAGGAGTTTCAGGTAGATGATCTCCAGTGGGGAATGAACGGTCAAACCTCCCACAGGACTTTCTATGGAAAGCAACGTGGAATTAGCATCCATTTGCTTCATTTAATTTCTGTTATTAGCACACACAAATAGCTGCAGTGGATTGGATCTATGACCCATCTAGTCCAAGATCTTATCTCAAGCCGTGGTCTGTAACCGATGCCCAAGAAAAGTGCGTATAGAGCAGGGCAAGTGGGCAATGATGCCCAGTTTATCCTCTCAACTCCAGTATGTAGGGGTTAAGGGACTTCCAAAACCGGAGAGTACCTCAAAACTATCACGTTCAATAATGTCTGATAAACCACGCTCCATGGGTTAAGACAAGCTGTTTTTTATGAATCCCTGTCCAACTATGAACCACTATGATATATTTTCCTACTGTAAAAACAGTTAAGCAAAACTCCTCGGACAGAAATATCAGGCAAGCTTGAGATTAAATAAGCTTGGGAAAATTCAGTCTGGATACGCTCAAAAAATAAATACATCAAAATGCACGTATCTCTGCTAAACCCCACAGTCTTTAATCAAAATTCCCACCAAAGCGAGTAGCAAAAGATGAGTTGCTGCCAAAGTTCATAGCGAAAGCCATGGGATGAGAAGCAAAGTTCTGTCAAAAATGAGAAATTATCAAGGAGAGGGAGCAGGAGGAGCGGATCGGTTCTCGGCATGACAATCCCAGGCTGCCTTGAAGTCAAGGGAGCTCAAAGAGCCACTTAAGCCGGTGCTCAGGATTCTGCTGAACGGGGCCCAAACAGTTATTATTTATACACTTATCACACAAAAACGTGAATTCCATTGGAAAGGAGGAAAAAAAAAGGGAGAAAAAGGACAGTAGCACGTACTGTGACAGACTCACAGAAGTACTGTAGACATCTTTGTTCTGCAGACTTCATGGAGAGAATTTAAACAGCCAGAGGGATGCACTGGATTTTTACTTAATGATTTCAAATGCTCGTATTTAGCTACACATAACTCATGCACTTGTGCAAGGCCCCAAAACAGCCAGTCTGTACAGACACACCACCAAAGTAGCTAAGTCACCCATTGAGACAGTCTAACTACAGCAACCCCAAAAAGTTTGAAGCCCCAGGCCAGCACCCTGAGCCACGCACATGTGCCTGTGCCACAGCAAGGTTTGTATTCCCTCAGTCACTGCCACCAGTATCTAGGCTTGCAAATTCAAAGGCGCTTCAGCCATCTCCCAGAGCTGCAGCCACAAGCACAACCACAGTGTGAATGTAACTCAAGCAGCTCACGGGCTGGACCGCAAAGAGAGCAAACACAACAGCGTGAAGAGCATTAACAGCGTCACATTTGTACAACTGGACGGAAAGCAAAGGAGTGCAGCCTGTCCGCAGCCCAGCTGGACCCAGACCCACCTCCTACACCAACTCACTGCATTTTACAAGCAGGTTTTAGACAAACAAAAGTCCTTCTCCTTCAAAGGAAAGGCCTCTAAAGAATCTTCTTGCAGGACTAGAGACAAAATCCTAAAGCATTCAAAACACTTTACTTCCCATCACAATAACCACAAAACAGAAAAATTCCTGCCATACCTGCGCCAAAGGCAAAGAAGAAGCTCTTGTCTGTGTTCTCCCTTAAAAGCGCCATCACTCTCTTCCCCATCCTCTCATTCCTCTTGTAGATGAGCTCCTGTCTGAAGTAGCTGTCTATCTCCTGAGCCGTCACCTGCTCGTGGGGCGGGAGCGTTGTGTTAATGAAGTTAGGGACCTGAAATGGAGAAAGAGAGAGAGAGAGGCTACAGTTCAGGTGACAGTGGTTAAGTAATCCCCAAAACACTGGATGTTTTAACTGAGCCTTATTTAAACCACCTGAGCATTGCTATCATACACAAAAAAAAAGAAGTCACTAGAGGGTGGGAGGTTGTCAGGTTGCTAGGAACTCTACAAAGAAAAAACAAATTGCTAACCAACACACTTTCTTTTTTTTTTTAAATGAAACTAGTACTTTACTAAATGAAACTTAAGTTAATTTTCACTTTTCTCTGTCCCTTCAGCAGAATGTAATTTTAGGTGTTACATTTGGGTGAGTTACCAAAATCTTTATACTCTGCTGGTTCAGCATTGGATGTTTAATACCTAAACAAGCCCTGTAATCTGTTCTCAGCCAAGATCACTGTGAACTTGAGTAAGGACTGCAAGATTTGGCTTCTATACATTCCTTTTTAATAACCTAACAGTTAAAAAAGTAGGAAAGGTTAGCAAATCCAGACATAGGAATATATAAACAGGGTAAACCCCCTCATCTTTCTTGCAGCTCTAGATGCTATTAGGTCTCACCAGTGAAGACCATGCATTGCAACACATAAATCCCTGGAACGTTCCTGATATTTCTGAGGAAACGATTTCCACAAGAACTGCTCCTTCAGTCCCTGTTTTTGTGAGGGGAGACATTCATAGGCACAGAAAAAAGGTTCAAACCCCTTGCAAGGACCATTCAAGTCAGGGCAGCAGACCCAGGAATGAGCCAAAACCTAAGCTATTATGGGCAGAAGTCTCTGATCATTAGGACAGACAACGTGTTTTGACACGGTGAGGGTCCAAGGTCTATCGTGAGAATTTGGGAGCCTACAGGCCCTGCAGCAAGAAGTGCTTTAAGCGGGCAGTGTTTGGTGACTGCAAAGAGTACCTTAGTACCAAGCACCTTAGAATCACAGAATCATAGAATTGTTTAGGTTGGAAAAGACCTTTAAGATCATCAAGTCCAACTGTTAACCTAACACTGACATCCTACCACTAAACCATGTCCCTAAGCACCTCATCTACCTTTTGTCTTTTAAATACCCCCAGGGATGGGGACTTGACCACCTCCCTGGGCAGCCCATTCTAGAGCCTGGCAACCCTTTCTGTGAAGAAATTTTTCCTAATGTCCAGCCTAAACCTGCCCTGACACAACTTCAGACCGTTTCCCCTTGTCCTATTGCCCATTACCAGGGAGAAGAAGCCGACCCCCGCCTTGCTACAGCCTCCTGTCAGGCAGTTGTAGAGGGCGATAAGATCTCCCCTCAGCCTCCTCTTCTCCAGGCTGAACAACCCCAGGTCCCTCAGCCGCTCCCCATCAGCCTTGGGCTCCAGACCCCTCACCAGCTTCCTTGCCCTTCTCTGGACATGTTCCAGCAACGCAACGTCTTTCTTGTAGTGAGAGGCCCAAAACTGAACACAGTATTCGAGGTGTGGCCTCACCAGTACCGAGTACAGGGGCACGATCACTTCCCACACCTTCTGGAGATTTTCTGTGCCACACCGCTGGAAAGCAGCTTAAGCTGCAAAACCCAGATTCAGATTTCTGAGTCCCCGGGTACACGTAAAGCTGCCAGGATATCCAGTGTTAATCTGAGTCGGTGGTAATGATATTGCATGCAGAGCCCATATTGGGAACATCCCTCATTGTGCCGAAATACTTGATGCAAGGACTCTGTTACTTTGGTTAATTCTTTCTCTGGTTTTATACTACACCAAATTCCTGTACTCATTTTCTAAAACTTGCCTTTAGTCTTTGTTTTTCAGCCCACCTCTTACCCTCCCACTTGGCCACAGGATTTTATCACAACAATTTTTGTCTTTTTCCACTCTCTTCACTCACACCACC